GGAAAGAGTCCAGTAGAGAGCAACAATAATTATTAGAGACCTGGAAACCGTGATTTATGAGGGAAGGCTAGGGATATGTAGTCAGAAGCAAAAACAGGGGATTTGATAAGTCTGCAATGTGAGTGGGGCAAAGCATAATAGTTCTAGCATTAAGTATCTGCATTGATTTACCTGCTATTGAAAGAATGGTTCGGATCTCTTGTGAAGAATCCAGTTTCACAATGTTTGCCATAAGGCTGTTAGTTGCCTCTGTTTCAATAGAGAGTTGCAAATAAGTTGACAGGTCTTTAACATAATAAAAGCATGACAGATTTTATTCCCATCCCACTGGTTAAGCAAATAACTATTCAAGGAAATTGCTAAAGCATTCCTCTTAACATGGCTTCAGTTTGCATTAAGCAAGAGAAGGGATAAAATGATGAACTTCCTGAATTTGCAAAGCCGTTTTAGGAATCCACCACTTTAACACAATCAGAATATAATTGAAACTCCATATTTTAATAAAATCCTAATTTTGTACATTGCTCTTCTGTTCTCATTTTAATTTTATAATGTACAAGTACTCTAAACGGTGCCTGCAGTATGATTGAAAAAACATAATCAAGTTTTGTGATAAAAGAGAACCTAATTACTGAATTCCTCTTAAGGAGTTTATGTAATTCCCATTGCATGTAAATTAAACTAAAGCCGATAGTTGCTTTTGTCTGCAGTTTCTCATTTTTGAGAAATTGAGTTGTTTAAATTGTAAGAGATCCAGCTATTAGAAGTAATGCATACAAACTTTTATCTTGCAGATTTTTTCTAAGTTTGGAACAGTGCTGAAAATAATTACATTCACCAAGAACAACCAGTTCCAGGCCCTGTTGCAATATGCTGATCCTATGAGTGCACAGCATGCCAAACTGGTGAGTTTATTTGCATTCACGTGCATTGAGCTTCTTAAGGACAGTTTTGTAAATCAGAGTGCTTTATGTTGGAACAGGAGATGCCTGTTGTTACGTTGGATACAGAGTACCATATTCCTAAGTCATATTCTACCCTTGATTTTACATGTTCATCCTTTGACTTTAGTGGGCATTTGTGTACAGTTGATACATTTCCACCATGAAGGTTGCATTTAAACATGACTAAACTAATTGTGTTAGGATGCAGTTAAATAACTTTGTAGCATGTGTTATCTGAATGTGCTACTTACCTTTGGTATATATATCATGATCTAAGACTTGGCATTTTGCTTCAGGTTAGTCATAGAATAGTAAGGGAAGTAGCACTGGGAGGGACTTCCAGAGGTCATCTAGTCCACGGGTTCTCAATCTGTTTTGTACTGGGACCCATTTGTTAACATCAGTGGCCAGTCCCAGCTCCCCCCAGTGCATGTGGGGCATGGGGGGCTCCAAGCAACCCCTCGCAGATGGGGGCTCTGATAGCCTGCAAGGGAAAAGCCATGGTTTCCCACGTTTTTCTCCTTTAAAGGAGAATCGGTTTTTTAAATTTGTTTGCAACCCTTTCATATATTCTTACAACCCATGGGTTGAGAAACTCTGATCTAGTCCAGCCCCCAGCCTGAGGCAGGATCATCCCTTTCCAAACCATCTCATACAAACCATAATCTAAACTCTACGTATATTCACATCTGTTCTTCAGCATAAATGTATCTCTAACAAGGTAAATGTGCCCTGGTTTTTCTTGCAGTCTTTAGATGGACAAAATATCTACAATGCCTGTTGCACGCTGCGTATTGACTTCTCAAAACTCACAAGCCTCAATGTTAAATACAACAATGATAAGAGCAGAGATTACACACGGCCAGATCTTCCTTCTGGGGATAGTCAGCCCTCTCTTGATCAGACTATGGCAGCTGCTTTTGGTGAGAAATCCTATGGAATATGATGACTTTCATAGAATCCTGCGTGGTTAGGGAGCTTCCATATCCATGTGCTATCTGCAGGTTTATCTCGCTTAGCAACCAGGTTTCTTGCACCCAAAGCTGGATTTTCTGTTTGATCCAACAGAAAGTCTGTTAAACAACTTTACCCTTTAGTGTTTTCAAGGTGTGAAAAGGCTTGGGTTAATAAGGAACACTAAAGGTGGCTGTGTTTGGAAGACAAGTGCTCTGCGTATGTGATCCCTGCCTTATTCTTTTGCAGAGGGCCTTTGCAGATGTTTTTCTGCTTTCTGTATTGTTAGTGCCACCTGCTGTTCTCTCACTGATACTGAGTGCCTGAGAGCTGGTTATACTATAGGCTTTTTTAATAAATGGTTTTGAAGTAGATACAACATAGATAAAAACGGCAGCCTTTTGAAAAGTGTATAGAGAACTGAACAGTTGATTTTTAATTGCTGTTTCAAAGTGCGGGGGAGCCTTCCAAACTAAAGCCCGAATACACCATTAATCTTCATTCAGTGGTGAGACTTCTAGAAAAAAAACTTGTGAATTGTATTAGGTTAGAAGCAGTTCTTAATTTCCTGTTATGTCCAAAAGTGATGGTTTTCCATTCTGGCCTGAGTTAAGTAAGTGCTTATCTTGAAGTGCAGATATCTCAGAGGAGATGTATTGGTTTTCTCTGAAGTGAAACTATCTGGCATGAGAGTCGTTGACTTAATATCTTACTCTGTTTACCAGGTGCTCCAGGAATAATCTCTGCTTCTCCATATGCAGGAGCTGGTTTTCCTCCTACCTTTGCAATTCCTCAAGCTGCAGGTACTGTATTTAGTAATGAACTTGAATTATTTAGCTAGTCCATGTTGCTGGCTGGCTGCTTTAAAAACAGTCCTCTTTAAAGAGCTCTGACTTCTACCAAGCAGCCAATTCAGTAAGCATCCCTTTGAGTAATTAGGCTAGAGAACATTTTAGAGGAGATGAATATTTTGAGTATTGATCCTAGAATATAGAATGGAATGATCTGCAATAAATGGTACTTGACTGGGAATGGAAGGTCCTTGAAGTAATCTGCCTAGACAATTGTGGCTGCAGTAAATAAGGCTATTTAGATAGGGGGAAGGAAAGGGCAGGACAAATGTCACATGTGCCAAAACTACTAATTACAATTGATTTAAAAAAATAAAAAATAAAAAAAATATCACATTTGGTAGGTCATCGACACTAGAATTTCAGCCTTATAGCACCTGTCTGAAAGTTTAATCAGAAACAGGAAACTACTTTTCCATTTTGTGTTTTAAATATTTCAGCTGAATAAATTTAACATGATAAATCAGTGGAGGGCACTGAACTTCAATGCTTTTCTGTTACAGATATCAAAATGGTCCATGTGCTATAATAAGGAAAAAGCCTAGTCAACCGTTCGTTCTCAAATGTCTCCGTTTTTAGGTAGTAGGTGCCTTGTTCTGAGCTTTGAATTCTAAGCACTTTGGGCTTTTGCTTATAATAAGCTCTGAACTAAGTCATGAAGCTAAGAAGGCAGTGCAGCCAAACAGAATTTGAATGTCAGTGGGTTAACGTGGGTACAAACCAAGCTGATGGCTCTTAATTCTTTGTTGATGTCGCATTTTGCAGGGTTATGCATAGGCCACCTAGATGGGTATATACCATTTATGAAAAGTGTGTAATAGACTAGTAGCTCTATCACCTAACGGGATTTAAAGCTATATCTTGTAGAGGTTGTGTGATGTGCGCTTAACATTGCAAGGTATCAGATGCTGCAGTAAGCACCCTAGAAATGCCTGTACATAAAATAAATCCTTCTCAAATGGAGCAGTGAATAATGGACGGGAATGTACAATGTCTCATTTCATCAGATGCATGGTCAAAGAGTGAAGCACTTATGGCATGCATTGGTTGGAAAAAAATCTTACAAAAATGCACTGCTTGTAGTACCTTTCCTGCATCCACAGAATCAAGGCTTTGCATTGAGACAGTTCTGCAGCCTGTGAAGTACACCAAATACTAATCCCAACCAGTTTGCCTCCAGAGGCATCTGGTATGCACCAGGCACCACAAGAGAGCAGATAAACTGTTAAAACTGAGAATTGCTTCCTGCATAGCAGCACCAGAATTGGAGGCACCTGTCCCTCTTAGAGTAAATGGTTGTTTTTAAATGGAGACATGCATGCTTTAAGAAAGGTGGGGTTAGAAGTTCTCCCTCCTGGTGCGGCTGATTACACTAGAGTACATGCTGTTAATTTCTTTACTGGTTAATATTCTTTAATTTCCAGGCTTGTCAGTTCCAAATGTTCACGGAGCACTTGCTCCTTTGGCTATCCCATCAGCAGCAGCAGCAGCGGCTGCAGCAGGACGGATTGCCATTCCCGGCCTTACTGGGGCTGGGAACTCCGTTCTGCTGGTTAGCAATCTGAACCCTGAGGTTAGTGGAGTTGTAATTTTACTTTTTTCTCCTTCCAGTTACTACTTCTTTCACTTTCTGAACACTAAGATTGTGCTGAAAGTCATTGAAAGTGAAATCTTACTATGTCCTAAAGGAAACGGCAAAACTAGCAAAGCAGACAAAAGGGGCTCTGCCGGTCCTAAACCTCAAAAGCAAATCAGTACTCTAGTCACTGAAGGAAAATGGGAAAGTCTGTCTTAAATTGAAATCTTTGCTCTTCCTTGGTTGAAAGCCAAGGGTGTTGCCTGTCTGCTCTGGTCCCATAAAACTACAAAGCCTGTCCCTTCTTCCCTTATTTGGAACCACCTACTCCCATGGATCTAGTGCCATTTGGGTCACGGTATAGCTAAAATCCTTCCCTTCCTTCCTTGGCATGTTCTGGTTTTCAGTACATTAATTCAGAACTACAGAGAGAGTTCATTCTACCCTCTACTCTTTCTGTTTTAATGTCTCGACCCCTGCCAGCTTGTCTTCATTGTACCTGTGCAGTGTTTCCTCTGCCATGTGCTCGCACATTTTATTTTTCCTTTCCAAGATTCCTTGAAGATATTTCTTAGTTATAGTCCTTAACAACTCACATTTACATTTTCAATTCCATTTATCTCATTGAGTTGAAATATTTACTCTTTTGAACGAAGCAAGTAAAATTTGGAAACAAACTGCAGCCTTTTTATTAAAAGGATTATGAGAGATCATTCAATAAGAATGAAATGGTTTTCTAAGTCAACTTTTGACTTTGTTGGATTGAAAGTGTAGACCATGTTCCAGTTTGTGCGCAGTAGAGGATGACGAGTCTTTGCTGCTTGAAAAATAATGCTTAACTGTAACTGGTAGGACTGCACATAAAATATAATCTCTACTCCATGTAGTTATAAAACTTATCAGTCATGTCAGAGTAACCATTAAACCTCTTTGCATCAAAGGGGAAGCCTGGATGAGATGAAGAATATAATAAAAATATTTAACTCCTGGATAGGATTAACAAAATTCAATCAGTATTTCAGACTGTTCTTTTCACCTGTCTGACTATCATTACTGTTTCTACAGGGCATGAAATAATATCAGTGGTACTCCTAAGGAGCTCTGGTTAGACTAGATCCTGGCCCTACTCTTAAAAACTCCTGTCATCCTGTTTCAGGAGCTGTTGGCAGTTGCTTAATCCTAGTGACTTCCTGTGCAAAACAGATTGCAAGCCCCTTAACTGACAGAGGCCTGACGTTTACAGGTTTTGGATCCATTGTGTGCCTGTTGGTGAGGGGCACGGCATGGTACTTTTTCTATGTGGATATTTAAATTGGGTTTTTGCTTCAGTCTTGTAAGTTTGACTCTACTTTCAAGCAGCAGTTTCTGAACAGTGTGCATAGCTGTTTTGTCAGAGTAGTAGTTAAACAATTATTTCATGCCTTGCATTTTTTATGAACTCTTCACTCTCCCATCCAGCTTGTCTTTGGGCTAGAGAGACTTTGATACCTGTAGTGAAGCTGTGAACTAACAGACTTAAACTTTTTCATTGCTTGTGTAATCAATGTTTTAGAAACTTACCTATGCCACAACTGGTTGGTTAAGAGACAGTATTTCTGTGGAATGACTCTAGCAATACACAAGCCTTCTTTCTAACTCTTGAAAGTTTAAACTATGAAGGAAAAAACTTTTGAGGAGGGTGGAAAGCCTGGATTTTCTTCTGCTCGACTTGGGATTTATTTTGATCACGGACTCTGTGCCAGAACAGGTCTGCATGTTAACTTAATACAATGTTCTGGGAAGAAAGGCTT